AGACTGGGAGATCTGGGGAGTTTGGAGGCTTGATCAGCCACTTGGGCTCTTTGTCATGTTCCTTGAACTGTTCCCAAGCAGCTTTTAAGATGAGGCAGGGTGGATTGTCTGGCTGGGAGAGGCTGCTGGCATTGGGGAGTGTCTTTGTTGTGGGATGTGTGCTTAGTCTACAACAATATTTAGGCAGGTGGTACATGGTATCCTAGCAGAACATTGTAACAAATTGATCAATGCCATTTATGTGACCAGTTTTAATTGTTGTGGCTGATTTAATGTATACACACACAGAGTAAATACTATAAATACTGCTTGCAATAATTATCTATGTCTAATATGCTTTTTATCTGCTTCTCCTCTATTATTGAGAAGTCCAAAATCCATTGGTCATTTCCAACATTTTGCTTTACAGAAGACTTCTCCTACTTCTCTGAAAAGTCCGTTCTTGTTAGTGCGGTGGAGGTTTCATGTTTCCACATTGCATAAATTGCATATTAGACAATTATAGTAACTCCAAACTAGTTGTGTTATCACAAATCATGCTCTTAGAGGCATTACTTAAACTCAGATTTAAGATATGCTCAGAGAAACGTTTCTCCAAAGCACAACCTGCAGTGCCAAACTCTGCACATTAATCGGCACAGTAAAGGTCAAACATCACTTACAGCTGAAGTAACAATGAAACGCATTTATGTGTGGACATTGGAAGTCTTAACTGTCAGTTTACAGGATGAAGATATTTGTCACAACTGAGCAGTTGCTTCTGATAGTCTTAAACTTGCTTAAGATTTTTTTTTAAAAAGCAAAAAAGCTGTGCTGTCTTCAAACAGTAACCAATTTGCATTCATTCATTTGCAGTCTGAGAAACACGGGTGTGTGTCGCGACAACAGTACCGCGAGTACAAAGGAGCTCGGCTGACCAACCTGGGCTCGGGGAACTATTCCGCTCGTGTTCGCGCCACTTCTCTCGCAGGAAACGGCTCCTGGACGGACAGCGTGTTCTTCTATGTGCCACCACCTAAACGTAATACAGCTCTTCTCCTTTTACTAAACGCCATATCGACAAATTTAAAGTGATATGACACGCTCACTTCTATTTTTCTGTTCTGACAGGAGATGATGGCGTCACGTTCTACCTGGTCATCATAATTCCCATCATAGTGACACTTTTCATCGCCAGCCTCACCACCATTCTCTTCTTTGTTAACAAGAAAAGGCAAGTATTTTTGCAAGCATTCTTTCCACATTGCCAGACAAAGTTCCTTGATTAAGCTGTTCTACCTCGCTTTGCTCGTGAAGCTTAATGACCAGTGTAATGTTAATTACACTTAATGGGTGTTGTTGTCATTAACATTCCCCTGTGGTAAAGAGTCGACTTCCTATTGAGAATCGCGTATCGCATCAACAATCAGAGCTGCCTGCCGGCTAACTGAGCCCAGTTTGTGTTAACAGGAATAGCGACAGACTGGGGAATGGAGTCCTTTATGCGTCTGTCAATCCGGAGTACATCAGTGCTGCTGAGAGTAAGTATATCAGATATCTTCTCCACTTTCCATTGTTATGTACAAGTGGTGCTGACCTGCTGTGTCTTGTGCCGTGCCAGTGTACGTCCCAGATGAGTGGGAGGTGGCCAGGGAGAAGATCACTATGCACAGGGAACTGGGCCAGGGCTCCTTTGGCATGGTGTACGAAGGCATCGCAAAAGGAGTGGTCAAGGACGAACCTGAGACACGGGTGGCCATCAAGACAGTCAATGAGTCGGCCAGCATGAGGGAGCGGATTGAGTTTTTGAACGAGGCTTCTGTCATGAAGGAGTTCAACTGTCACCATGTGGTACGATGGATACGTCATAAAATACTTAGCATCCTGAATGAGGACAAAAATAAAGCAACACACTGGAATATTGGACCCAGTTGCAACCTAATTAATTGTATAGATGTAGTCAGCAGGTCATGAGGACTAACAGTATTGAATACACCGTGTGTGCACTTTACTGAGGCAGCTCCAGCCTGAGGCAGGGTTCAGCCTCCTGGAGATTGTGTACTATCTCTCATCAGTGCGATCACAGCCTCATTAACTACGTTAAATGGATGTGTTAAAGATTTTCCCTTTGGAAAGCTGCTGTTACAACCTTTTTATCAAGTCTGGCTGCTAAAAAGCCAAATACTCAATTATTAAATTCAATTTGAATAATTTAAAGGAAGGAGATTTTTTTTTTTTTTACAATCTTCAAAGCAGGTTAAAAAGTGTTTCTTTTTCTAATACAAACATATGGTGGAAAATATGAGCAGTTGAACTATTTTTTGTTTATAACCTAGAGTGCTTCTAAGTAAGTACCTTCCTCACCCCCTACTAGTTTTATACACTGAGTACCATAACAATGAAATCACTGGCGTAATGCTGTGTAGGTCCCCCATATGCTGCCAAAACTGTTCTGAGCCTCCAGGGCAGGAACATTGAACCTCTACGAGTGTCCTGTGGTTTGTGGTACCAGGAGGTTCACAGTTGATTCTCTGGATCCGGTGGGTTGTGGGGTTGGGTTTCCATAGATGAGACTTGTGATATTTGGAGAGTTTGGAGGCCGGGCCTTGGGCTCTTTGTTCCTTAAGCCTTTTCTTAGTGTACTTTGCCATGCACTCGGTCTACTGTTGTCTTGCATAGCCACATCATTCTAGCAGTGCCCCATGGTTAGTCTACTATAGAGAGGATAAAAGTTCTGGCTTGTTTGCATTTTTTCATACCAATCACAATCATCTTAGAGAAAAACCAAGCCCAGGAGGCAGCAACAGTGTCCCCTCAAAATAGTGATTGGGGCAATTGTTTTTGTGCAACATTTGCATGCAGGGAGGAAAGAACTGTCATTAAGGTGACGATTCATTAAAAATGAAAAATAGAAAGACTGCTTAAAATTATCAGTGCAGTAGCCTAGATGTTGTTGCCATTGTTTCCTGTAGAGAAGGGATTTTGAAAACGGTAACATGCAGACAGCCAATAGGGAGGAAAATTGTATGAAATGTTTGGCCAAGTGCAGGTTTATAACCACAGTCTAGATCCAGCGAGTCAGACTAGATCTGCAGCAATGTTTTAGTGGGTGGTACATGTCAAAGTAACATCCACATGAATGTCAGCAGAAACCTGCATGGGAACAAGACGATAAATCCTGTTAATTTCACCTGTTAGTGGTTTTCATGTTGCGACTAGTTGGTGTGGACGACTCTTTGTAGTTGGTTCGTACAGAAAAATAAACATATTTTGCCTAATTGCCCACTACAATGAAATGGCACAATGTATGCTTGATTGGACATGAATCAAACTGTGAATTTAGAAATCCACTCAAACTTGACAGAAAGTTACAGTGAGCATGTGCACTACATTTTTGGAGCATTGTTGGAATTCTTTTTTTTTTTTTTTTAATTCCAACTTTCTGTCTTAAGTATATTCCTCTATGAACAAAAACCTGCTTAGTTGTAGTGAGTGGATTTGGGACACAGCTTTTGACTTATCCCAGCCAACCTGTGCTCTGTTGTGATTAATGCAGGTGCGGCTGCTGGGCGTGGTCTCTCAGGGACAGCCAACCTTGGTGATTATGGAGCTGATGACCCGCGGAGATCTCAAGAGCCACCTGCGCTCTCTGCGCAAAGAAGTAAGCAGCTTTTACTGACGCACACAAACCTCGACTGTGTATTATATACAGTCTCTTAAAGAAATAGGTGATGCTGTGAACATAAGCACATCCTGTCCCTCTTTTCTTCGTCCTCCCTCCCTCCCTCCCTCCCTCACACAGCATCCAGCCCTCACTTTGTCTTAATAACTGATGAAAGCAGAGATACATGCTATAAAGACTGACTAAAAAGTGTTTCTTTACCTTTTCACCTCATCCCCTCCTGCTCTGCCACAGAACTCCACCAGCCAGGTCCTACCCCCACTCAAAAAGATGATCCAGATGGCAGGGGAGATCGCCGACGGTATGGCGTACCTAAATGCCAACAAATTTGTCCACAGAGATCTGGCTGCCAGGAACTGCATGGTAGCGGAGGACTTCACTGTGAAGATTGGAGGTAGGTCAAGTTAATAGGATGCCTTCAGCCTCCCCAAGATTGCTCAATGCTGAACCTTGCTCTGCCAGCCTTGAAAATAAGTGTTTGGATTTCAGAGAGTGCCTGAGGCAGCGGAGTCTTAATGTAGATGGACAGAGGGAGGGAGGAGGTGAAGGGAATAGATGAGCTCTCAGGAGCTTCCTCTCCCACACAGAATGAGTGATATTTAGTGGCTTCCCCAACCTCTGTTTTCATTTTTTTTTTTTTTTTTTCTTCCTCAGATTTTGGCATGACCAGAGATATTTATGAGACGGATTACTACCGAAAAGGAGGGAAGGGCCTGCTGCCTGTCCGCTGGATGTCTCCCGAGTCACTGAAAGATGGCGTGTTCACTACAATGTCTGATGTCTGGTATGAGAACACAACACTTTCACACACACACACACACACACACAAGCCTGCATTACACATGTATGAACCTGCTCTAATCCAGGGGGCTTACAAACTATTTCAGAACCGCCTGCATATTGTGTGATACTCTGGAACAGTTCATGCTGTGGGTTATAAACTGTAGAAGCCAACAGATTCACCTCACAGCCAATATTCTTAACATTTTTTACTCAACAGTTTGAACATGCATTTCCTGCCGTGATAGCTACTATTCCCAAAACCATCAAAATCTTTTGGTCTGTGGCCGGCTCTTTGGAAATTCCTTTCGCCATGACAAAAATGTATATGACAGGAATACTTCTTTTTTTTTTTTCTCTTACAACTCTTTCATTCCAGTGTGTGGTATTTTCTCAGCTTACAGCTCTTCCACAGTTCCACTAGTCTAATTGTTTACCAGCTCCCCTGCAAGTTTTTTGTTTCCCAACTCAAAGTGTCCCACGGGTCAGTCCTGAAGAGTGGGCCTAAGCTGCTCCAGATGTTTCCCAAATGAGAGGTTGTAGTGCCAGCACAAACCCACCTCCACATTTTGTGTACTATATCTTTCTCTTTGATGTACAGCAGTTCAGTGTAAGACAAACCCACTCTGGTCTACAAGAATAGGCAACTTTATATTATTTTATTTTGCTGATCAAGAAAAGATGTCTGTCAGCACTTTCGTCCTTTTTTTTATGCAGAGTGTTTTTAAACTTTTTTTTTTTTTAGTGTACCATATGAAAATAGCAAGAGTGAACAAATATTGTGGTCATTGTTGGTGAAGCTGAAAGTTTTTCTCATGAATAGTTTAATAGTAATGTCAGCACAAAGTAGTCTGAGGTTAAACTGAGGTGATGTTTACTGTAAATACTTTATACTGAGGCTTGTCCTGCTGTAATGGAACGCTAGATGAACGTTGTCTCATATTGTTGTCCGGCATTTCAGCTTTATCAAAAGTCTGCAGCATGTAGGAATTTAACATAAAATCACTTTTTAACCACTTACAAACAGAAATGACAGCAAGTTGGGCACTACAAGCTGAGACTGCACTTATAGATTTTTTTTGGCCACTTGAGGAAGCTGAACAACATGTAAACACTGACGTAATATTATTATTCAGTTTAGAGTCGTGGGGAACTGCAGGTTCTGACATCAATGTGGTCCGGACTGAAAAGTTTCTTTAAAACTAAATAGACTGAGATGAAATTTAGTTCAGACCTTCATGGTGTCCAAAGGATGACTTCTAGTGACTTTGGTGATCATTTGATTTTTGCCAACTTTTGTCAGTTTCACTTTATTGCCACAAAATCTACACAACACATTATACAGAACATTATGCATTTTTGCTAGTGTTCGGCTCGTATGCAGTCTTTTTGGCATTTTATGAAAATATTTCAGTTGACAAATGGCTGATTTGGTTTATTGATAGCGAACAAGAAGGTGAAGTAGATTTAAATATTTTCATTTTGCTGAAGTGGGGACTTTTTTTTAGTTGTGACTGCACTCAGCAGAACTCAATGTGTTGTGACAGTATATGTTTGAGTTCAGTAATGTAAATGTTTTATCTCCACACAATGTGATATTTATAGTTAATATTCCCTCTAAGTTGTGTGATTAACATGTCTTAAAGTAGCAAATTTTGCTTAATGTATTTACTTTTGTTTTGGGGGGTTTCTTGGGTTTTTGTGATCACAGCAGCAAAGGTGTCCAAACTTTAAGATTTCACACTGTCCCGTTCATGAATTGTGTGGTTTTGAGAAAATCATTTCAGCACTACTGAAAGTTTTCACAGGAAATTTAAGTCCAGTGTTCATGTTCCCCTCAAGATGCTTTACAATCACTTTCATCTGCTACAGTGTGTCCAATGCTTTAGTTTTATGACCAAATTAATGGAAAACCCACGACATGACCATCAGCTGCAGCCACCCAAGTGTGTGTGTTCTGTTAGCATTGTGAGCATGTTATGATGCTTTGTTTTCTTTTTTTGTGTAAAAGTCATTTATTAACTGGAGTTGGACCAACCAAACCAAACAGACAGTGTAGGACATTTTGTTTTGGTGCTTTGCCTTTACTACATAGTTACAGTGTAAACATGCTGGTAAGCGAGCAGGAGAATGAAACGCAACAAACGTCTGTCCAGCTGGGAATGAAACTGGGGCCTCTGCTGAGGTTATTTCAGCCCATGTTGTGTGGACTCAAATCACTTGGCTATCGGATCACCCTGAGGAAAGGTCAATTTGCCCAGTACCTTAACGGGTATCATTTCTTTACAACATAATAGGAAGGATGTTAAATATAAGATATATCTATATAAATAAATGTCCTTGATGATATTACCCCTGGAAGATTTGACCTTTTGGATTTTGCTCTCAATGTCCACACTGACAAATCAATAAGGTAAGTAATTAAAGCTTTAAGAGATAAAAAAATAGAAATGTATGACATGAATTTGTTTTCCCCTCTCTTCTTGCAGGTCATTTGGCGTCGTATTGTGGGAGATCGCCACTTTAGCGGAACAGCCTTACCAGGGCATGTCCAATGAACAAGTGCTGCGCTTTGTCATGGAGGGAGGACTCTTGGACAAACCTGACAACTGTCCTGACATGCTGTAAGAGCGCTTCTATCTGTGACCAATTATTGTGTAATACCACATGCCCCCCCCCCTCCAGGTTTACATTTCAACACCCTGAAGGATGTATTGTTTTATCCTCTACTGCCACTGCCCCATATGTCTTCAGCCCCATTAATATTTTACCCATCGTCTATTTTAGGTTGTGGTTCAGAGCGTGAAGGATATCGTGTGTGTACGTTAAGGTAGAGCCAAAATGAGGGCTGACATTAACGTCACAGGTTAAATGCGGTTCGTTGACGACATGGTCAGCTGGCAGTGAGAAGCCTCCTCACCCGTCAGCCTCGGCCCATAGAAGGGATGCCACGATCCGTGTGTGAAAGATGCCCCTCATTCCTGCAGCAGAGCGCGGGCATGAGGAGGGAGATGGTGCCTGTCCATCAGCGGAGAGAGCCAAAGCAATAGACACAATTCATTTATTCATTTATAATTCATTAATGAATCACTCTGGCTGTTAGAGAGGAGAAAACAGAGCACAGCCTGCTTGTCAGCATGCAGCGTTGCATACATGCATTTCTCTTCTCCCTCTCTGACCTCAATAAGAAGGCATTCTGCTCTCTCCCCTCCCACTCTCCATGGCTGACCTCACCTTAGAAAGAGTGCGAGTAGAAAAAAAAAAACAAAAAAAAACGAGGGGCCGAGTGTTGTGCAGACACAAACCTCTGGTTTCTATGGCAGCCTGACTGTTTTGTCCTGATTACAGGAGTGTGTGGATTGTGTTACAGAGGTGGTGGTGGTGTTGGTGGTGGTGGTAGTGGAGTGGGGGCTTAGCCTCCTGGTCTGCGAGCAGCACACAGGGGAGTCAGGCTACTGCCGATGGTCGCCTTCTGCTGTGGTGACTTAATGGAGATTTCCAGAAGACTGCTGAAGCGTAGTGAAGCCAGACATTCATACAAAGACTGAATAGAAGGGATACAAGAAGTGGAAGTGGGCAGGATAACACACAGAGGGATGAGTCATATTTGGAGAGCTTTGAAAGTCTCCTCCTTGCACTGTTTCCCTTGTTTCTCAGGTAGCTGTGGGTCATTCATTGGATTTCCCATGTTTCTGTCTAGAGTTTCCGATGGACAAAAGTGCATTCTCTCTCGCAGGGTTGGGTGAAAATAAAAAGCAGACTGTGATCATATTAAACATAGTGATTTACTGTGGAATGCGCGGTATCACTTACAGGGCTATTATACATCAAGGTTTTCATGACACTGGGGATGTTGCATGTGTCTAACAAAGACCAGAGCATTTTTTAGTTGTGTTGCAAGAGATTCCTGTTTGGGTTTATTAAGCATTTACCATAGATGTTTGGAGACTTCTCTGCACTCACACTTGGCCCCAAATCGTGTCTGTTTCTGATTTTATCAAGGTTTTTTGGCTCATCTCTTTCATGAAAATTTGGCGGCGTCTGCATGTGTACACAATTTTGACAGTAACACTACCAGATATTTGCTTGTAACACCATTTTTTTTGGTCACAAAAGTTCAGAATCTGCTTATTATTGGCAAAGTATGCTGACATATACAAGGAACTTAACTCAAACTCACATTAGCTCCCACTAGAATTTAAGACAGCGAAGGTCATAAATACACAGGATGAAACAGGCATACAGCTAAACAAAGATAACAACCTAACCAGAGCAAATAAACATAAAAAAGTATTAGCGAGAGCAGAATCGAGGCAGGCTGACGGCTGCTGCTCAGTCAGTCAAGCTGTATTTAAACAGCACATTTGGTACATTAAAAAGGAATTCGCTGTGCCAAATGTGTGTAAACAGGTAAAGGAACACAAGCGATTAAAGAAAGTGAGAAACTTTGGGCACAGCAGATAGGAGAAGTGTAAAAAGACCTTGAGGAGGTCTCTTTACGAAAGCTAAAAAACAAGCGGAGTCGTTCTCATGCAACTGCTGATGTCCAAATGTGACAGGTCATGTGTGAGTCAATTTCGCCTAATGGCAATAACATGTGTCATGTGTGCTGTGAGTGGCAGGATGGTGACAAGAAGTCAGGATTTACTGCAATGTTTGTTTTCTAAATTTGCAGCAACAAACCTCGTGCACAGCAACAGATGGTGGGGTAGGAGTTTTCGGCAGGCAGGGCTATGCAGATAGGTTACTGCGGTGCGTCGGCCCAGCTCCAAGCATGACATGTCTTTTCATGGGAGGTCTCTGCCGCCTGGGTTTGGACATCTGAACGTCAACTTTGAGACACTTCCTGCGCTGCTGAAAAACAAGTCAGAGCCGCCACCACCACCCCCCCCTGCTGCTACAGAGTACGGAGCGAGGCGCGTGCTTCGGAAAGCACTACCCATAATTCCTGTGTGCGGAGAGGAGCTGGCACCCAGCTGCAGAGGTGGCTCTAGACGGCAAAAGAGACCAGAGAGAGAGAGAGAGAGAAAAAAAAAAAGAGGGAACAGCAAGAACAGAGTAGAGATGGCTGAGGTGTTTATGTCAGCGGGCCTTAGAGAGTATTCTTAGCTTGTTTGTGTATAATTGAAGTTGTGGTGTGCGGTGCAGCACCACACAAAACTGTAATAATTCTCCCTTTTATGATGTTGTTTTGACATTCCCAAAGCTCGGTTGCTGGCCTGGCACAGTAACCTTAAGTATGATTTACTGTCGCTGCTGAGTACATGCTACATTTCTGATCTTGCTGTGTATTATAATGTAGTAAAAAAAAAAAAAAACATTCCAATTTCACCTCAATTGAATTTGACATTAACAGTAAAATTGAACTGTGCTTTGCTATACGCCGGTAAAAGTCTCGTGGATTGCAGCAAGTTTAGAAACACACGTATTTAGTCATTGTCTGCGATTTCACTGAATTTCAATTATAGCGTTTTAATGGGAAAAGGGACAGCGTGTTCACCGAGATTACCTGCCAGCAAACCTGCAGGAAATTAATGAGCAAGTTAAAGGGATAAGGACATGCATTTGTAAGTGATTTAACACAACCTTTCTTGCATTCACAGCTACTAATAGGAAATCAAACAAAACGTAAAACATAGAACCTCAGTGTGTTTATGTGGATGCTGCACTTTACACTGTAGTCCACTTTGTATTATTAATTACACGTACATAACCCTCTGTCAAGATCAATGGAGTGAGTTTTAGTGCCAGAGCGTGTTTAAACCGCAGTTTCTCCTGCCACCTGCTGGTGACAAACAGGAACTGTCTTTACTCTGTACTTACATGGCAAGATACTGTAAACATTCCTTCTCTACATACTGGGTGTAATGTATTTAGCTCCTCACATGGCTGTGTCAAGAGGTTCACAGTTCAGTTCAGTGCAGTTTAAATTAATGTGAGGTTTCAGTTTGTCAAATTAAGCTGGAATTTGCAAAATGTGAGTTGTTTATACAGAGTTAGAAAGTGCTAAACTATGTAGTATGCAAGATGTAGATGCAAAATCGGAACCTGTGTTTTAACAAAAATCACACCAAAGTGCAAATTATTAAGACCGTCAGCTTTTGTGCGTCACTTTCAGGTTCGAGCTGATGAGGATGTGCTGGCAGTACAACCCAAAGATGCGCCCGGCCTTCCTGGAGATCATCAGCAGCATCAAAGACGAACTGGATCCTCCCTTCAGGGAAATGAGCTTCTTCTACAGCGAGGAGAACAAGCCGCCGGACACCGAGGAGCTGGACATGGAGGTAGAAAACATGGAGAACATTCCACTGGACCCTGCATCCACAAGGCAGCCGTCTGCTGCTATTGTTGTTTCCTCGTCTGGGTGCACAGGAGGAACGCCGCCTCCTTCTGCCCAGCAGTTATCCCCCATGCAAGGTCCGAGTACTCCATTACTGGGGCCCGTGTCTCACTCCCCCCCGGGCCCAGTTGCCTCAGCCTTGTCGTCTCCAGGACAAGCCTTGGACAAGCACTCAGGACATGTTTCGGCCAACGGGCCTGTGGTGGTGCTGCGGCCCAACTTTGATGAGATGCAACCCTATGCACACATGAATGGGGGCAGAAAGAACGAACGGGCGTTACCACTGCCCCAGTCGTCGGCCTGCTGATATCAGACCAGCCCCTCCTCTTCCTTTTACACAGGGTAACACAAACCTCTCCTCTATCTCTTAAGGAGGGATGGATGAGGTAAGGATTTACTTTCTTCTACTGTGTGCCAGTAGATGGTCTCTCCACTCCTTTAAAGTCAAACACAAACTCTAAAAAAAACTGAGAAACAGCACAGAAACCTGCTAAAGCATTTGGAGTTTGGTGGCTAAGACTCAACACTGGGGAACTCCTTCCTGCGCAGCCTGTATTTCAAGTCTTTGTTACATACACGTCCTTCAAGAAGGAATACAATACAGGCATGTATCCTGACTTACAGATTTACACATGAACTTAAAGAAAATCCTTTTTTTAGCATATCTGCCAGCAAAACCAATAGAAGAGCACTTTTTTCCTGATGATTTCAGAGAGGATGTGATGGATATTTGAGTGTGTATTTATACAAACACATGATTCTCTCCATAATATGGTATAGCTTCATTTCTAAAATGACTTTCCATCAAAATGACCTTCTTTCCGTGAGCAGACTGGCTCATGTTGTGTGAGGATGCCTCAATTAGAACGTTTGGACTACGATCATTACTTCACTACACCGTTGGTATTTCTGTGGGATCCCATCAGGAATGGGTCAAAGTGGTAGAGGAGGGCCTATTTTGTATCTGCCAAAATTTTGCCAAATCAATCTTTTTCTTCAGTTTCATACAGGTGTCCCTTCTTAAAGGAGGCTGTGATTCAGAGTTGAGATCAGTCCGTCTGGGCCAAACTGTTTGGTGGTTTCCAGACTGCATGCTGATCTGTAGTACTAACTGCTCTCGGAGCAGCTGTGAGTGTTGGAGGGGTTATAAACAAGGCAGAACACAGGGACTGCAGATGTGCTGCCTTCACATCTGCAGTTTTATATGCAGTGTCTGCACTGGAGTTGAATAAATCTAGCAAACCTTGAAGAGAAACAACACAAGACTGCTTTTAAGTGGATTGCGTACAGAGAAGCCAGCAGAAAAGCAGGACTGAGTAAGTTTTATTCAGGTTTTGAAACGTGATCAAAGGAGTCTGTGATCAAATTTAAAGTCAATGTTTTTTCAATTAACCGACACAATACCAGTTGAATTCTGAAGATATTTATAAAAACCAACATTTGGGAAATAATAAGCGACCACTGGATGGAGGATATAATAAAGAAATGACAACAAGATTCTAAAATCCAGAACTTTTTTCACCTGGTGTTGCATTTATAGATAATTTGCATTTCATTGATTAATTGGTTCAATCATTTATAAAAGTAGAACAACCCAGAGTTCTTTGGTTTCAGCTCAGATCTGAGGATTTGCTGGACAATGTCACTTTGGGCATTCTTCACTATTTTGTGACCCACTTGCATCCCAAACAACAAAAAAAAAGGCAAGTTAATTAAAAATGACAACAATCAGTCACTGCTTCTCTGGAGTTTCGAATGATTACACCTGAAAAGACAGCGTGCCGTTACTGGTGACGGTCCTCTCAAACACACAAGTTTTACCAACAACAGTCATTCAGATCCGAGCCTAAATAACTTCCCCCTTCATCATTACCATCTTTCAAACATCTGAGGGAAGTGCACATGTGACCTGAGTCAGCAAACTCTGAATCACAGCCTCGCTCTGTCTTTGTTTAAAAAAAAAATTAGAATAAAAAATAAACAAATCAAAGCATCAGAAGTCTCACACTACAAATCACTGAACTTTACAATCTGGGGTTACGACTCTGCCTCCACTTTGATTTCTTCAAACCTTTTCTCTGACATTTTTGCATTTCACGTGGGAGGTGAACGCCGTTCGCCGATACTGCTGTTCAAACTAAACGGCACCAAATGCTCCACAACAAAACCTGAGACGTAAAAGCGAGAAGCTGTTGGATCAGATTTTCGTAGCCTAGAGACAACTTTGAAGTCACAGGAGGTCTCTTTTAGAATAGTCATTAGTTTCTCTACATTTCAAACACATATAAAGGTCTTACAGTTGTATTTTTGACTGCAGGATCGTTTTTATACACATCATTGGTTTTGTCACTTTTTTAAAAAAGAAAAAAACCTTTTTACGGTTCAAAATGTTTGCCTCTATGTCTGTACAGAACAAAGCTGCTATTTTATTCTTTTTCTCTTTTTGGATGTTATATATAAAGAAATCCTTCAGGTTTGGTATTTTACGGTCTCCACTACAGTCCATTTCTAATCTCTTCGAACTCTGTTTAAAAAAATAAAACAACAAAAACTTACCCCAAAAGGTTTTCTGTAACACTACATTTTGTTCATTGCCTTTTTATTTTTATGAAATGTTTCCTTCTTTATGTGTTTTGTGGATGTCTATATTATTATTATTATTATAATTATTATTATTATTATTATTTGGATTGGACACCTTAGCTCGATGTGTGAGCGTGTACTTTCTGCACCCTTTTTTGTACTTGTTGTCTAGCACTGCGCCTAGCCTTGCCCTCTAGGTGCGACTCAATCTCAGGTCAAAGTAAAGGCTTTGCTTTCTCACACACATTCTCATAATCATCCTGTACTTGTCTCACCATGTACCCCTCTTTCTTTTCCTCTTACATTAAGTCGAATAGTGCACGTTCTCTCCTTCCCTCTGGCCCCCCTACTGACCTTAACAGCAAACTTGTACCTGCTTCCCCCCCCTGGTGCCTCCTTTTGAAGTCAGGATTCGTTCCAGTATACAAGATATTTAACTTTATACCAGATCTGGTATTTTAACCCATCCATTTTCATGCCTATTCTTGAATAAATAGGGCTAATTGGGTTGTCTTGTTTGCCTTAATTATGCCAGCCATCTTTTAAGCATTTTAAAATCCGCTTTCCCCCCCTCCCCCTCCCTCCGAATCCCCAACCCCACCCACCCGACGCTTTCAAGCACAATTCAACGCCACTTCTGCTATAATGTCACTTCTATTGTTTGTCTTCACAATCACTGCTTCAGATAAAACCAAATAAAGGATGGGTTAAAGTCCAGGGAAGGGAACACATTTCAATGTCATGAATGGAAAAAGGTCTTAAAAATGGCTGAATAGTGAAAGTGTTTTTGAAGGATTTCTCCTCATGTTGCCTGGTGATTTTATTTTATTTTATTTTATTTTTTTTCGAAGTTATTTTTTTTTTCTTTCTTTTTCTCCTGTAGGAGTGTTATTTATTTATTTTTTTTATTTTCCTTTTTGTGATATCAGTTTTAAAAAATCCCTGTATAAATGCCCCATGATTCAGTATAAAGTTGGACTTTTTTTTGTATGCATTTTCTTTGGTGTCATGACTGGGGGACTTTAAAAAAAACGTTCTTTCTTCTTTTTCTTTTTTTTTTTTTTCCCTTCAAGCATATATCTACCTCACTCTTTTTAAATATATGTATGCGTATGGAAAACAAATACATCTCACTCTTTCTCATCAGTTTTTACAGAAACCTCACCTGGATTTAAAAACAAACAAAACCCACAGGGATCTAGATAAACCTCACAAAGCAGACTAGGACGGGAGATGGAATGGAAGTGTTGTAGGTTCGGCCACTCCAGTCCTGGCAGAGCATTTAAGTGACTTTATACAGCTGCGATTACGAAGAAACGGCCGTGAGTTGCTGAGCATTAGTGGCAGCCTTCAGTACAGTTTGTATTCTTGTCTGGAGAAGCGGCATAAAATGTTATTGGGCATTTATATGAGAAAATATAATTATGTCAACCTACAACATGTTTTTAGAAGATGGTTTGAAGCAGGTGTAGCGCAGCACGTGAGAAGACAAAAGGCCTCAACATCCGACATTCCATCTCCACCGACTCCCGGTATATTGTCACAACCTCAAATCCTCAAAAGACAATTAATTTTCTCATCTTAAAAGCATTTATATAGAAGTCTAAAAAAAAAAAAAAGAAAAGATAACATGGGAAATATTTTAAAAGGGAAATGTTTTAATCACCTCCAAGAAAGAAAAAAAAAACATTATTTACCCGCAGCCTGTGGTGCTGCAAAAATACAGTGCAAACCTTCACAACTTTATTCCAAACAGATGGCATTTAATTTAAAACAAACAACAAAAAAAACCAACATCCAGTTATGTGTGTGGATCAGTACTGTGAATGTAACACGGACAATTCTGTACTTTCTACACACAACCATGGAGAATGCAGCATTTTCACTTCCTACATGTTTCTAAATTCAGTAGAAACTCATATATGGATCATTTTAATGCTGGAATCAACCCAGCAGGAAAAAAAAACAAAACAAACGTCATTCTTGTCACTATGATTATTTAATTTTAAACTCTTTCTGGTTGTGTGAATGTCATCATTTCCCCCCTGTCCCAAGTCTACCTGCTGAATGCCATGATGTTCTTCATCTCCACTATCGTCAGCGTGAATCTCTTAATTTTCAGGCGTTTTGATCATTCAGAAGTAAAACTCTACGCGCCTTTTCTGGCCTGTTGTACTGCTACTTATGATAATGCTGCTGGTTCAGTCACCTCAGTGGATCTTATATATTGTCACCAAAAAAAAAAATGTTGAGCGTACAAGGTGACAAAAAGTAGCTTTTACATCTCAAAGCTTCTCATAAAACCTCAGTTCTACTCTTTACTCGCCGTGGCTACGTGGAGAGCGCCGTCTCAGTGCAAGAGCTGGTGGGCTGGGAGCATGAAAAACAAAAAAATCTGAAAATTTCGTGGTGAAATGAATATCTAAAAGCAATAAAAAAAAAATGGAATTACGAATAGGCCGCCGGGCAACTTTGAATGTGTAATTCGGGTGCTCAATCTAAATCGTTGTATCTGTAATTTTAGATAAGAGTGAAATCTTTCGGTTACAAAATAGTCCCGATTGCTGCTGAATATAACATTGGTACAGAAATCACCACTGACAAACAAGCAAACAGCTTGAGTAGTTTAACATATCTGTGCATTTATGTTGTTGTTGTTTTTTTTCCAGTTTGGATGTATCATGATATATTTCAGCTTTTCACTTCGGAGTAGATTTTGACCTGTTGTGAGGTGAATAACTGTTGAACTACTAGTTACCGTTAGATCACAAAACTACAGCATTTACAGTGAAACACATGGACGTACAGCGTTATAGGACAGGGATGTCGCGTAGATTACGGGTAGTCATGGTAAAGAGTAAACGACATGATTAGAACAAGATGATAGTTTACAGCTTCACACTGCTAGTTGCTTTTCTACATGACCTTAGACTTCCAGCATAAATATACAGTAACTAACGTCGGTTTTAGTCATCTTCAGCATTTTAATTCTTCAGAATGTTCTTCATACAAATGTCAGGTTTATGGAAATGCGTCAGTGCATTCAAACTGCAATAATAAGTTTGAGGTTTATCATTATCATGCCTCTGTTTTTATGATTTGCATTCCTATACCTTCTGAGGGGGCCTTGGTCTACTGCTATTATTTTATTACAATGCTTTCACAAAATCTGTGTGTTCATTACTTGATTGGGGAAAGAAATAATCACAAAAAAATTCATAATTTCACTAGACTTGTCTTCTTTCAAGCTCTGTATCTGAGGCCTCAAAGTTTTTTCACACCTATAGCTGAGATGGTATATTTTTTGACATGCCGTCTCCAAATGTGTATCTGAGAATTTCTTGTATTTTCTTTTTTTCTGAAATTTTGAATAAATAAATGAGAACTATGATTGCTCGCTCTGTTTATTTTCCCCCCGAAGGCCGCCACTTCTCAATCGCAGTATTCGGTGACGTGGAAGGCTGCTCATGTGGCGTGAAAGATGAAGATCTACCTCACTGCTGCTCCGGGATCCTCCAGCTGTTGGAGCATCACCTGAATGAGGCTCTGCAGCAGAGGTACCAGTCTGTCAGCTGACGCCAGGCTGCCAGACGAGGGTACGTGGATGAAGGCTGCCTTCCTCTGACCGTGATACAGGGACAAGTAGTATGCAAAATCACACAGGTACCTGAAAGTAAGAAACACTATCACTCTCTCTTGACTGTCTGTTAACATGCTTCAGGAACAGATTCTCACCTGCCAGCGTCTCTGGAATAAATCACATCCATCCCTGCTTGTTTGAAGACCTTGGAGACAGCTCTCATGTTAACGACCGAGTCCAGTTTCTCTGGTCCGCCTTCGATGCAGCAGTGACTTTCTGGACAGAAGCCGCACACATCTCTGTCGCTGTAGCCGACGTTCTTACCCGTTTGCTCCAAAAGGACAATGCTGGAACCTCTGGCTACGCCCAGGTGAACTGCAAACTGGAGGGCAGGCACACAAACACAGAGTGGATGACTGACTTTCTCATATGTAGACATTATATGTTTCAAATCTTGACCAAGGCTGCAGCTACTATTACACACCCTGAGGTCCTCGTAAGTGTTTTAGATTAGAATAGATCATTGCATAGAGTATAAGACAACAAGATTCAGTTTAGCATTTCGCCAGAAGAGCGAAAGTGCAGTGTAATGTAAAATGTGGAAAAGCTTTGAGAGCAGTATGCAAGTGCTCAGACATACACAGTATGAACAGCGTTAACAGTATAAATATTGCAACAAGTAGGCAAGATATATAAATATCTAAGATGTACATGTAATGCATTTAGTGTGTGCAATAAGGATACATGCAGTTTTATACAGTACTGACAGAGCAAACAGTATGAATGTGTGTATATAAAGTATATAAAGGGAATAAGATGTAAGTAATAGAAGTGTGCTAGACACAAACAACTGATGACTTTATATTTTACTTTTTAAGAATTGATATGAGTCATTTCAGCATTTTTAGTCTAAATTTGAAGCAACAGAATAAAGGAGAATCTTTCTCTGTACAGATGGTATTGTCTGTGAAGATTCTCCAGGTTGTGGTTATTCTAGTAGTTTAATCGTAGCAACTTGACTTGCTTGAGTTCCTTGAAGACGTTTCACCTCCCATCCAAGAGGCTTCATCCGTTCTGACTGACAAGTTGGGAGTTCCAGATACTTATATCTTTAAGGAGCCATTAACAGTTAAGGATATAAGTATCTGGAACTCCCAACTCGTCAGTCAGAACTGATGAAGCCTCTTGGATGAGAGGTGAAACGTCTTCAAGAAACTTAGGCAAGCCCAGTTGCTACGATTAAACTACCAGAATACAGATGGTACTGAATCCTCAACAGAACACTAGTCTAAAATAAGAATAACTAAGGAGAGGGGACTACTCATGGTTAGTAAGAACTCTAATCTCAACACAAAGATGTTATTTTTACCTTTGGGTTAACAGTTCGCCAGAGTTCCTCAATAATGTTTTGGGTTTGGACATAACTCACTGGTACCTCCTTGATGTAAACATCAGTCCTGTCCCCCAGTCCGGCCAACTTCAGCGCCTAAAATAAGTTAAGAGTTGGTCATTTTTATACACAATTAACTATTAGAATTAATTGAAAAGGGGTGTTTCAAATACTACCTGGGCTGCTCTCCAGCTGGGGTTCTCCAAGAACTGTCTGAAAGGTCCAAACCCTTAAAAAAGTAGATTAGAACAAATCATAATTCAGAATAAACACAAGTTAGAGAAGTTATTGATCTTACAAACAAACAGTTCTCACTTCACCTGTAACAACCACAGTGTCGCGTTCACTCATGGTAAATTTGTGTCTTCACTAAGGGGATAAGGATAGTTGTTATTGCATTTCATGTCAGGATAGTGAACACCAGCCTAATTTTAGCTGTCATGATTCACTTTCCGTCCGCCTGGGGGCGCTCTGCTCTGGCAAATGTGGCCGTGATGCATTCAGGTGCTCCAGGGACGTTAGTAGCTTTCACTTTACAAGTCCAAGACATTTTAATTAGCCCAATCACTCATCAATTTACAATATTTTTTACACCTAGAATCTGTACAAGCCTCTCTCTTATGCAAATAAATAAGGAAAAAGAAACAACACGTATTTTGTAGACCAAGAATGAGCGCCACAATTAAAAAAAAAAAAAAAAAATTTTGTAGACCAAGAATGAGCGCCACAATTAAAAAAAAAAAAAAAAACCCAATACAAGTAAATGTTCATTATTAAAAATATTCAACTACAAGAATCACAAACATGTACTTAAGGTATAAAAAGTAAAATTACCCAGTGAACAGACAGACAGGCTTCAGCCTATTATATTTCTATACAAATTACACACGACTGTTGCATCAAAGTCAGTTTATTGAGTAATTCTGTTAGGAAATTATTTAAAGTGAAGTATTGTATATAGTAGCACGCATTACATATAATAAATTAACAATCAGTGAAATAAACGTTCATATTACACCATATAACTGCCTCACAGTTAGGACGGGTAAATGTTCATCAGGCATGATGCTTAAATAAAAAGCAAAAGTCAATATAATTAGGCCAGTGTAACTTTTTTAACTACAAACGACAATCCGTGACACCGTCGTTATACTTTAGATGCATCTTAACAAGTTATAAGATACAAATAATTAAGAACGGACTGCACTTCTTTGCTCTGTAGCCTCGTGGTAGAAGAAGTGTTTCTATCCACTAAGTATGAGCGCCACATCTTTACCCAATTACAAGTAAATGTCCAGCATTAACGATCATGCACTTAAAGCATAAACAGTTCAATTATCCATTTAACAGGTCAAATTGCTTCAGTGTTACATTTTTATGCAAGTTACAGGCTCCCACTGCATCGAAGCAAGTTTAATATGATCGCTATCTTAATCTGCAGTGCAACTATTTGTGATTCTTTTGCATATTTTATATATTGAAAGTTCGTCTCTCATCCACTCCAGTTTGTGCCAAGGAGCTCAGTCTGACCTCAGTGCCTTCGGGGGCACAGAGGGCCCTGTCTCATCTCTTTCAGGTGTAAATTCAAGGGACTTATTTCATCTGAGGATAAGAGGAAGGTAGACCCACACACA